TAAGAAGCTGGACGCGACTGAGGATGCCCGGGCCATAGAGCCCTTAGCCCTGTAAGAGCTGTGTGGATTTGAGTAGGATTGGCAAGATTGCCACATCGGAACCTGTTGATAGTTTAGTCCAAGAAAACCAAGCCACAGGTTTGCACAATGTGACTGACTGGCCGGTTCATTCATCATTCAATTCAGTCATTCGGTTGCCAAGCCTTGAAGGGAACCGGGCCATGGCGACAAAGGATGAGCATCCCTACTGCTCCCGGCCGAGCCATGACCCAGACGTTCTGGAGAATGGCTACAGGTCGGGGGCCTTCGGCCGTGTTAGTTTGCTGATGTGTTTTTACCATCATAAAGATTGGCAGAGGCCAGTTGAAATGCTTGTTCTGAGGCCAGGTTTGGAAGACATGGTGTTGTTTCAACTCTCAAGCTTGACAATTCTCCAGGTCGAGTCGAGGGCTCACTCGTATGACTCACGTGGTTTGTGCCTGAGCAGACCAATGAATACTTGTGGTTGCCTACTGCCAGGTTGGTTCGCCACGTCTCGTTTGTTGACTGCCCGGGCCACGCCGCTTGGTCATGTGAAGCGGATTCAGGAGCTGATGCTACAAAGGACAATATTTGCAATGTTGATGGGTGAGGAGGTACGACTTGTTTTGAATGGCTGCCTGTCTCCATCGCCAAGTTGTGTGCCTGGGAACAGTTGAAGAGAAAAACCTTGAAGCAATGATTTGCACAAAGTCTGATGCATCTTGGATTTTAAGCTTTGTGAAATCCTAGCACATCCTCTTAGTCACTGTTCAATTACATTCATATGAAGTGGACGGCAAAAAAGTGTCCTGTTTCAACCACATGGTTTGTTGGGACATTCACTTTGGTGGGAGAACATACAAATCCTTCACGATGGTTTGTCATACTGGCCTCCGGGCTGTCCCCTCCATGGGTTTGTTTATGTCACGTGCACACAAACTCAGACACGCGTGCACACATGGAAGATCATCGAAACGCTTCCTTTGCGGTCCACTGCGACACCCTCGTTTCTATCAGCCTAGGACATTCTCATGGCCACCATGTTGAACGGCGCGGCCGTCATGGACGCGGCCTTGTTGGTCATTGCAGGCCCCTGTGTTGGCTGAGCAAATGCATCACTTGACGCCTCGAGAGATCTGGTTGCTGTCCGTGTTTTGAAGCAACGGATGATCCGGAAAAGGTGTACATATTTGTAGAAGCTTGATCAAATTCTCCACCGCAAATGGAGTACTTCCATTGGTTCGTTTGTTTCAATAGTGTCCTGTTTGGGTGAACTTGAAAAGATGTTCTCCACGCCTGTTGAACACCTTGGAAGGGATATCGGATAGCCAATCCAAGCGGGCAACCCGCAAACTTGGCCGCTGCTTTGTCGAACTCATGATGCCCCGCGGGAAGATCAGCAGAGCCTGCTGGTGCCTTTGCAGGAAGTACATAGTGGTTGATTCAGACCTGGCAAGCCCCTGCACACAGCTTTTTATTCTTGAAGCGACTTTTGTACCCTAGCAAAGCGTGAGTGAAGGGACTCGCGGCAAACTTCCAGCAACAGACTCAAAGCCCAGTGCCACGAATGGTCATTGCCTCAAGCGAAAGCCCTCCCATGGTTCGATTCTTGGCCTCCCATTCGCATTTGATGTTTGCCAGGGAATGAGACCTGCCCGCAGCCACAGACCTCGGAGCATTTGGCGGCAGTAGAGCCTTGGCTGGGTCAAAAGTCGGGTCCAGGTGGGAGACTGGGAAGCTGGCGCAACTTATGTCACTTCCTTTCTAAGATGTGTGCTGCTTTCGGTGGCTAGTGGTCGATTGGGGAAGTTACGGCAAAGAATTCGGACTTGACGGCATGGGACTAATGGGACTATTTGACGCCATGATGCAATCTGAAGGTTGCGAGCGTGGGAATACAAATTGTCCTGTCACACTGGAGCGATGCTATCAGCCAGGGCGGCAAGCATCGCACTGGGTTGTAGCAACCAGCTCTTGCTGCCTGGGGAACATGGGGTTGTCAATGTGGACATGGGTGCGCAGCTATTTGTCAAAGGGGGGCCTGTTTTCCTGGTGACCACATGCACCCTGCATCCACGCTGCCGGTCAGGAGATCATGCGCTTGAAGCACATCATCATTCTCCAAAACAAGGCTGTGCTGCGTCAAACCTGCGCGTCCTGTTCAAGCTGGGGTCCATACCAGCTTACTTTAAGTCCCCTTTCTGTAGTGGTCTAGGGAGTGGATAAGGGATGATTGCAAAGAGGTAAGTTTGGTGAAGGTTAGTCTTTGAGACGCAATCTGGGTCACATGCTTGTTGGAAGGAGATCGCTTTAACTCCGTTCTGTTTCTGGTGCTGGACAGGCAGTTCTGTTTGTGTTGAAGCAGGATATATTTTTGCAGCTACTGGCAATTACTTGCTGGGTTCGCTCAGGAACTGGCATTGATTGGCATTCTTCTGAGTCATTGGCGTGCGGGCCAGAAGAGTCGTATTTGCCTTGAGTATCTACGACACGGCGTCCACCGAAAACGGTTTGCGGAGAGAACACGTTGTTCGCAGCCAATTGAAGATCAACAACTTCTTCCATGGACCCTTGCATAACAAGATTATATCCTTGCGGAAACACCGCAACCCTTGTCAATGCAGGTCCTGCCCGTTTCCACTTGCCATTTTCTCATCTCAAGGTTTGGCCCCAGCGAAACCAAACGGCAAGGCCCAGGGCGTTTCGCGATCAGGTGGAGCTCATCAAGCAGCAGGAGGCCGTGACCCGCTATGACGAGATCAAAAAGTTCGTGGCCGGCACTGCAGCAGACGCCTGGGCCAAGAGGGAACCGGAGAGTGGCAGCTGATGCGTCGAACAAAGGATATAGCCATGCTTGAAAACCAATGGTGCCATGTTGGGATAGCTGCACCACCCATTTTAGAACCTATTTTAGTGGGGTACGGGCTTTTGACCCATGGCCATGTCTCGTGAGACATGAGGAAAACGTCGGAGGCGGGGTGACGATTGCAGCAGTGCCCGGCACTTTGTCTAATGCACATTGTCCAGGCTTCCTGGGGTGTAAGCCATACATCTACTCATATACTTGAATAGTAAGAGCATTTTAATGTACGTGTTTGTTTGATGTGTATGCTCAGGGAAGGTTGTTTTTGTGATTTCTACAAAGACCAACGCCAACCGGACATGACCCTGAAAAGGGCACATTGAACAGGCAGTCATGGACTCGGATTGCATACAACCCAACCTGAGTTCGTTTCTCGTGTCTCAGCCACATTTCACGACTCCAAGAAGTGATAGCTTGAGCCTTCGGACTCCGGGCCAGCCTCAAGCACAAGGCGACCCCAAGTTATGAAGTTGGGTACTGAAGTTGGGTACCGTTGGATTGCCAGATGTCGTGGAGCTTCATATCTCTATTTTGCCATGTTCAGTGTTGCTGTCAGACTGTCAGCGGACTTAGGCTCAACTTCACACTCCAGGGGTAAACTGTGATTCTAGACCAATGAGCCACTGCTGCGAAATCAGCAGCAGATTCTCAGAGTGCATGCTGTGTTAGATGTGTTTTGTTTGAAACACTGTAGATTGGCGGGAAGACCTGAAACTGCCCCTATTGTTTGTTAGGATGATCATTTACTCATCCCCTCATAAAGGCCAGCTTTCCCCAGCATATTGCAGGGTGTCGGATCAAAAAGCAAGCTGTGCTCTGTTGAACACTTCTCGGCTTAGGACAGCTCGCCCATTATCCCCATCAGCCTCTCGGCATTCGTGACCATTCGTGACTCGCAGATCGGCGAGAGTAGACAGCTTTGTGCACAGGGGCAGACCTTTCCTTGTTCCAAAGGCTGGTGGGTTTAGACAGTTTAGGGCGCTTGCAGCAGAAAGCTTTGGCTAGCCCAACACATGGATTTTGTCTCAAGAATTGGGGGGGCCCTCCAAACATTTGGTTTGCTCATTGCTTGTTCATGGGCATGACCAAGCGATGATTGTGAAACAAAACTGAGTGAGTGCACATCGGGCAGCGTTTTGGACACGGGCTCCAACACTAATATGCCAAAGGATGTTGAGGACATTTGGAAATTGAACTGTGGCATCGAATTCCCGCACTTGGCAGTTTAACGGTTCACTTCCGGAGTCGGTTTGACGTTGGTGCGGTTTTCGGCCTGACAAATCTTTAATCTTTGTGTCGGCCCGTAGGACGCCCGATTCCGAAGACTTGGCTGACTAGACCCGATTGCACGTTGCATGATGTCTCGTCAGTCCCGGCGTGAAGTGACGCCAAACCATTGGCGCTGGCCAAGACAAGAGACGCAAAATCTGAGGAGTTGGTCCCCGGATTCCAGTTCAACTACCCCGACGGAGCCTGTAATGTTTTTTTCGACTACAAGACATGTGGGGGACTGCCTGTAGCGCGGAGCTGAGGTGCTGTGCTGAAGTACAATTTGGATGTCATTTGTCCGGCGCTGAGCCCTCCTGGCCGGCAGCGAATGTGTTTTGCCTGGGTAAGTGCAAGACCGTTGACGGCTTGGCGACCTCAAAATGGCAATGCTTCCCTTTGGTTTCCTTTGAATGCAGACCCCCAAAAGTGACTGAAAAGGACTTCTTGCTTATTCTGATGGGGCAAGCCGTATGGTGCGTTTGGTGTAAGAACCGATGGCACATGGCACGCATGGAGGGGACAAAGACAAATGCTCAAGTTCCAAAGCCATCCCTTCACATTGGTCAAGCTGCCTGGTCTATGCGATCCGAAACCGTTTCAGCAAGATGAAATTCAGCTTGCCCGTTTCCCGAAGGGAGCACCAGCGGAGTGCTGGTGCTGGCCATGTTTGCGTACGTCCTCTTCAAGTGCTTGACATGTTTTCCGAACATGAAACATGTTTCTAGAAAGTCTCAGGGATCTTTGTGATGAAGCGGCGCTGACTTCCTCTGCAACGGGCAACTTCTGAGGCGAGTACCTGTGCACGCAAGTGCCGGTGCCTCCTAGGGACTTCACCTCCAGCCCGGTGATGATCATCATCCGCTCGTTCGACGTCAATAGGCGCGGGTTTGAGCCCCATAGCGGCGCAATGGCACGCTCTGGGCTTGAAGTTTGATCCAAGTCTGGAAGCTACGTTGCAGTCTTTCACACGGTTTAGTCTTCTTCAAAGAATCCATGCAGATCGCACAACCTTGTAGCAGCTTGATTTGCAGTGTCTCGGGAAAATCAAAGGCAAAGCACTATAGGATAGCAGTGTTGCAAATGACGATGCAGCAACCTGCGTGTAGTGCAGCAAGCTGCGCAAATAATGCGTTTCGACTGTTGATGCAGCTTTTTCAGACTCGCCGCGAGGGATCAAGCTCCACTGAACAAGTATTGGATGAAGTCAAGGTTCTTTTTCGGGGGATCTCGTGCTTCTTTGGGCTTTGACCTGCCGCCGTCCGTTTGGAATGTGTGAGGGCAGACTATGTTCATGTGTCGAAGAACGAAACGAGAAGAGGCGACAACAACTGCCTGAAATGATAAGCCTACTTTGAGCTGATGTGTTATACATTGTACACATCTTCAAATCCTGACCAAGACATCCGAAAATGCAATATCACTAATCATTACGCCCCTGAGTATGATTTGTTTGTAGAAGCAGTGATTTGCATTGCGCTTGATTTTGCACTTCATCAAAGGCCGGACGTGGAACCATGAGCGCCAAACCCAAGGGTTCATGCTTTGGTTTGTCTATAATCACTCGGACATGGCTGTGGGTGAAAACCAATGGTACCATTGTGGGGCAGGTGCACCGCCCATTTTAGTCTATTTTTAGTTGGGATTTGGATGTTCACTGGGGGTACGAGCTTTTGACCATGGCCAAATGAGTCCAGGCTGAGCAACTTGACCAGCCAACTCACCAGGCCTGGCGAGGAGGTGGTCGACCTCAAGGGTGGCGTAGCTGGCGGCTCCATCCTCAAGGGTGCACCTTGACGTGGAACGGAAACAGAAGGGGATGGTTCGCAGGAAGCTTCATGAGAACCACTGCTTCGTTTTTCCACTCTGAGTTGTTTGAATTGCTCTGATTCCAGTGTGAAGAGCTTATTTTGCGGGTGGCGGGGCCTTGTTTTGGCTCAGGTATTGAAGATGGGGGACGAGATTGCTCCTTGGCTGTGGGAATTGGCTGGGACCAGGCATTGCCGGCTCGGGGGGTGTGAGTTTTGCAGGTTGGATGATGGCAAGCCTCGTTTGCATGTCTCATCAAGACAAGGGTTGTCGACCACTCGGGTTTGTGCCAGCTATGCCAGACATGCCCACTCACAAGCAACAGTATCTTATTCAAAGACATGTTGTTCAGGAGTCTAATTGGCTTCTCGTGATGTAGCGGGCTTTCCTGACAACCTGCAGGCTGTAGACAGAAGTGAGGGATCACGACTCTTATGCACTGCTCCGACATCACCCTTGAAGTTGATTGACTTCTCCCGTCTCAAGGTTCTGGTTGGGCTCTAATATCTGTGGGTGTTGTTATTTGAGCGCCTTTGGGGGATATTACGTAGCCTTGGTTGCATGCTTTGGGTGGCAGTTGTCCCATTCGCTCCAGCTCGATCTTTTTTTGACCAGCCACAATCCTGGTCGCGTGCCTCTTTGAACAGCACGGAGTTTCTGTTGTGGAGGTCAGTCCCCATCTCAACTTCCCGGCTCCACCTGGTGCGATCGAAGCATCGAAGCGGCTCCCAGGAAATTAGACCTGGCATCGTCACCAAGGAGATGGACAACGTGCAGTGTCGTCCAATCAAAAGCCGCGACTCGGTGAAAGGTGAGGCTGACAGGGCGAGGCTTTTTCTGAAATCAGGGATGCGATCTCATGGAATCTTCTTGCTGGTATGTGCTGGTTAGTGACACGCACTTGGGAAAGCTGGAAAGCCAAACAGTGGTCTTCCTGAAGACATAGTTGTGGCACGCCTTCGGGTCGAGTTCATGCTTATGCATGGACCCTAAGTCTCATGAAGTTCGAAGACTGTCGTGAGGAGTCTGAAGAGAACAGTTGCAATTACCCCACAGAAGCTTGGCCAGCTGACTTGTTCACGATGCAGACTCAGGCATCATGTCGCTCCTCGCTGAGAAGAACGCCCTGCAGTTTGCCGTCCCCGGCGGCTTGATCGGCGTCGGCACCAAGATCGACCCCAAGCTCACCCGCCTCATGGCAGGGAGGGAGGGCTTGTTGCGAAGTGGGTGCATTGGTTGGCACGCGCTGGTTGCGGAAGAGTGGCAGACCGAGCCAAAAGAACCATGATCCTGATGGCTCAGGGTGAGCAGGCTACTGGAGCGCACCCAATGTCTGAAGACCTGAAAATGGCACAGGTTGGAGAACTGCCAAGGTCAGAGTTGTTTCAAGCACTGTCACAGGCAAAAAGAACTTGCACAGCAAGCGCACGGAGTTGTTTTAAGCCGCACCTAAGACGGTGGCACATCCAGCGGTCTAAGCTAGGTAAGACATATTAGGCCAGTTTCGACTTGGCTTTTAGCCCGCTCAGGAGTTGCCGTGGAACCTCCTGGTCCTTTACAGACACAGGTTTCCCACAGGGAAACGTAGATCCAAGACGATGTGCGAGTCATTGCGGGCTTTTGGACACCTCCAGCTGTGGAAGTGACTTGACATGGCCTGAGGTGCAGACAAGCTGGTGGGCCATGTGCTTGGCCACCCGGGCAAGCTCCCAAGCCGCTGGGCACGAGCTTTCAGGAGCATTTGCCCTACGGAACGGACGAGACCCACCATTTCTGGAGGAACAGCTTTCGCCCATATTGCCATCCTGAAACCCCTTGAACTTGCTCCACGTCCGAAACATAGCAGCCTTGCGCGACTTGGGAACAGTCATAAAGAAGATTAAGATTACAGCACTCTGAATTATGGTTACTTACTCAGCTTATTCAGGGTACCCACTCTGCGCATCAAGCGTTCTGCGTCAGAACAGCATCGCGGAAGATTCTTTCGATACATCTATACTGGCAAGGCGCAAACCCCAGGAAGACATGCTTCAAAAGGAGAGCATGCTTCAGACTATAATACAAGTTCAAATTTGCCGGTGTAAGTCTGGCGTCACACCAGGGACAGACCCCGAGTCAAGATTTGAAGTTGCAAAATAGCTGTCATGCACACCATGATAATGTTTGGGAGGGTGATCCAGGGGATCACGCAGTCAGGTTCCGGTTGGTCATTAGCGACCTTCAGTGCAACTGTTAAGAGTTGATCCAAATGATGCATTGCCTGCTTCAGGGCTAAACCGTGAGGTGCCAGAAACGTTGCCCGAAACGTTGAATTCTGAATCCAAGCCATGGCCCAAGGTATCTACATTGAGATCGAGGACCGGGGAGCGGTGCAAAAACTGGTGGCTGGAAATGCTTGGACTGCCCCATCCCATGGCAGAGAAACCCCAGCACAAAACAAAGGTGCTGAGACGATGGAACATAAATACATTCCCTTGTCTAGAAATGCTTGAGTGAAGTGCTGCCACTTAGGTAGCCACAGCTTGCGATTCATGGCCTCAGCTTCGGATCAGCTCAGTAACTCAGCTCATGCGCACGGCATGGGCTCGGCCGGATTTACCGTAGCATTCAGCATGCAGCCCACGAGATGATTGGTGTTTCTTGGACATTTGTAGCCCTGCAACAATCAGAAGCCGCTTCGCGGAAGCTTTTCAGCCAGCCTTCCAGTTCATCAAACCAACGCCGCAGTCCCCGATGCTTCAATGAAAGCTAGAGCCAGATGGGTCGAATGATTTGTTTCGTGACACGTTGCAAGTGGAGGAAGAGATTTGTGCAGGCAACTGGGCAGGATTCCAGGTTTTTTTGTTTGATGCGCGACTCGTAGGTTGGGAAGCAATATAGGTTTGAGCGTTTGTTTGTCAAACCAATACTAACCATTGGCCTAATCTACGCCTAGGCCTGGCTTCTCAGCCGCAATGAATCGAACAGGAAGCAGCTGGTTCCCAGCGAAGTTTCCCTTAGGGTTATTTGGCCACCCGACTTGATTCCAGTCGCTTGCAGGTGAAGTTCTACCTGCTGCGGCGGCTGCTTGGCGTGAAGACAGATGGTGACGGCAAGGCGGGCAAGGTCGCGAAGTTGAAGAAGGGCGAGATCCTGATGGTGACTTGGCCCAAAAACGCCCAGCAGAGAGCCGAAATGGGTATGGGTCAAAGTTAAACCACCAGGGGACCACAGGTTTTAGTCCATGTTTTTCCACTTACCAGGGTTCCATTTTGGGTACACTTTTTTGACCCAGAGCCAAATGGATTATGGTGAAGGGATGGATCGCTTGGATTGTTCGACTCGCGTTATGGGATGCGTCGTGATGCGTGATACGGCCGATGACCTGCCCTCTGTTTGAGCGTTTGTTTGGGTGGGGCAACAGTGTTTCAAGGGGGTCCCTTGAGTTTGGGCCAAGCAACGGCATTTGTTGTCCATGGCTTAGCCGCGCATTTCACTTCACAATGGGGTTTCGCCCGTTTGCAGTCGCGTGGATGGTGAATGGGGCAATGATGGCATTGGGTTGGATGGCTGCTTAACGCCCTGGAGTTCTGTTGTGTAGGCGTAGCCAGTTCTGGATTCAGCCAAAGTTGACGCTACCTTTGTCAAAGCGTGTTGAAGCCCTAGGTGTGTTGCATTGACAGGTAATGCTGCACTGCGCCTCTGAAATCAGGGATGGCTGGCCTTCTAGTGGGGAATCAAATAATTCATTTTAGGCCACCACCCGCGCCGTTTCATTTTAATTCGTGACTACCGTCCATTTCCCGCAAATACACAAAGAGGCAGCTGACTATTTGGTTGACCGCACCGCCCGCCAATTCACCAATCCCTCCGAAATGATCCCTATCAGCCGAGGTGAACATCGGGTCCACGGCAGCCGGCGGAAGAGTGCCCGGCATCACTGGAAGGTGCAGGTGTAGAGTTGGCCTTAGGTCCAGCCAGGCATGTAGAGGGGGTTTTGGTGCCCTGTTATGCCACAAAGCCCGAGCAGGTCGCGACTTTTCTTGCATAGCGGCCTGGGACGCGGTGTGTTGCGGGTGTGTGATGCAGCTCCAGGTACTTGGCATTAAGGATGACAACGACTATGCTAGGATCGCTCTCACCCACCCTGCCGCTTGGCACGGAGGGGGCAAATTCATGGCAGCCATGGTTTCCTGTTGGGCCCAGGGTCTTGTCTACAGAAGGCAAATGGTGGTACCAGGAATCCGGGATTCTTGGGTTCCGGCTGCACCGGGAGATTGGGGTACGGGGTACTGGCATTCTAAATGATGTTTGGCAAATTCAATTCGCGGAGGCAAGGTCGATGGGGAGCCCCGCGTGCCGGAAATGCAACTCGCTGAGGTTTGCACGCAGGAGAACGACAAGGTGGCGCTGAGCCGAAGGACTGCCATCTCATAGGCAGTTTTAGTAGGTTCTGCTACCTGGACTAACAAGGACTCATCCAAGCCCTAGATCAACGGGTTTCGGTAGCGGCTCGCATGGCTTTTAGCAGAGCTCCAGGCTAGGCTGGTTTCTGAGAGCCTCTCAAGTTCATGTTTTATCTCCCAGCAAGACTACGACATACATGTGTTAGCACTTCTTATCTCTTGGAAACTTTGAGCATCAGGAATTGATCGCTGCTGCACCAACCAATAAGGGAATGAGCAACAGACGTGCCAATGCATCAGCTAGTCGTATGGATCAACTGTCCAATTCAAGCTACTTGTATCATGGGAACTGCTTGGTTTCTCGGACTCCTCCTGCTTGGGCTGCATTCGAGATGCCCCATAATATGTCCGGCAGGGTGTAATTCGGAGGATCGACAAGCACTGGCGGCTCATCGGCTGGGGCAGCATCGTGAAGGGCGCAACCATCAAGCCACTGAGCGATTAGAGACGAGGCCGTGCGTAGGGAGCGGCAAAGGGACATTTTTGGAGCGGAGAAGTGCAAATGCACCGGGCGGAAAAGAGTGTGCGATCCATGCGGAAAAGCAATCCAATCAGTTTCCCCTCGCCGAAGCCCCCGTCGAAAAAAACCCGTCGAAGCCCCCGGTGAAGCTCCCATCGAAGCCCGCGTCGAAACCCGATTAGAGATCCCGCGGCGCGTGTTGGCAGGTTTCTGGACTGGCTCCCTTGGAACCCGTGCGTTTTCGGGAGAAGCGGCGGCTATGAAAACCGCTGCACTCCGCTTCTGAGATGCCAACATGCCAGCACTTTGTGCCAAGAAGTTGTCAGTTGGTGCCACGGGGGTTGGAAGGCCAGGAAAGAAACCGCAGGACCAGCGCAGAGCTGTCCTCGCTCGTCGGCTTCGCTTTAGCGCTTGGCCGGAGGAAATCATCGACCGTATCTACGGGGATTCCCGGCAAGGGTCCTGTGCAATGCTGAGCTTCCGCACAGAGCTTCTGTTGTGTGGACCTCTGCGCAACAGTTTTTGCGCTCGACCCCAGCTCGCCCCGACTCGCCACAACAGGAAGCAGAGCGGCTGTTGCGCTTGGCAGTGACATATTACTGTGGCTCCATCCCCAGCTGGAAAGGAGGGAGCACCCATGACCACCCATTTGTGAGCAATCAAAGATGGCAAGAGGAGCACAGCGCACGTTAGAAGCGGCCAGCGTATAACTAGCAAGAACGCTGCTATGAGGATGTCCAGCACATTCCAACCTGAAGGGTGTTTTCAAATGTTGGTACTCCATTTCTGATTCCGCTACCCTCTCCTTTGTCATGTTTGTGTGTGTGTGTGCACGGTTGCACCCGCATATGGATAGGCTCCTTTTCAGCTGCCCAGCGGTCAACTCAGGAGATTGCCAAAGGAAGTCCAACCATTCTTTCCAGGTGACCCGTCAGGTGCCGAAGGCGTTGTCCCGGTGGCTGGAACCTGGCTGACCCCGAATCCCGCTCCTGAGAGTGTCAAAGACACAGATGCCAAGTCCCGTTCTTGGTGGGTGTCAAAGGAAAAACCCCAAAAAAACACCGCAAAATACACCATTGGTGCTTCCTGCAGTGTTTCTTGGGACCCATCTGATCCGAGACTTTCGGCCTTCAAAGGCGCCCCCGGTGCGTGTCATCCACAGCCTGGTTCTGGCCTCAGAGCCCGAATGCCAATCCCGATTCGTCTCAAGCCGATCATGCCCTTGTGCCCTTGTGCCGGCTGCTTTTGTTTGTTTCTTCTGTTGGCTCGTGAACTGGTTGGTTGGTTGGTTGGTTGGTTGGTTGGTTGGTTGGATGGATGGATGGATGGATGGATGGTTGGATGGTTGGATTTGTTCGCTTGTTTGTGAAGACACGTGTATGCCAAGCTTCATTCCGAATTGACCAGTTTCCTGGGCAAGCATGAAATTGAAGGCAGGTGCTAGGATGTCCAGAATAACCTTCTCCCCCAGACAGTGTCAGCGTGCTCCAGAAGTTAATCGCTGCGCAAAACGCTGAGGGATCATCCTACGGCTCCACGGGCAGCAGTTTGCTCTGCAGTGTAGGTGCGGGGATTGAGAGACTCTGAGGGTTGCATCAGCTACCTCCATTTCTGCGGACCTTGCTGAGAAATTACCTACTTGTAGATTCTTCGGCAGGAGGGAAAGTGAAATAAACTCTTTGTTTGCTGTCAGCGTCCCTACAGGTAAAAGTGCAAGGGATGCTGCTCACCTGGGCAGAAGTTTAAAGCGTGCAAATTCAGAAGTGTACTGGCGCAAGGAGCAGCGATCAGCTTGTCACAAAGAAACCTTGAGAAATGTGTTTGAAGCAACGTCAAACTACAGAGTCCAGGCTAGCCAGGTCAAAGCACTCGTCTTGGAAAGTCCTCCCGCTGGCCAGGGGCTGTCAAACGGCGTTTACTGCCTGCCCTTCAGCATTGGACGGACTACTGTTGCTTTGTATTGCACGTTTGTCGGCCTGGTGAGATAATGCGAGTGCTTTGCCGCGCAGACGCATCCACTGGCCCGCTGGCTGCATACAACTCCTTGGCCTTGCAGCATTACACCCAAGCAATATCATATCTCCACAGCATCCCACTAGCTGGTGCGCAATGCATTCAATGCATAATTTAAAGGTATGTTGTGGCCAGTGTTGCTTGCAATGTAAAAGCATTGCTAGCACTGCCACGGCATAGGTTGAGGCCACTTACCCTTAATCGTTAGCGTTAGCACGCGAGGCGCTCGCAAATCAGCGCCCATTTACGACAAAAGCGAAAGCACCACCACCTTTTTTTGTTTTGTTTTTCGGACTCCGCAAATGTCGGGGCATTGTTGGCTCGCACCATGGAAACCCAAGACCGGCTGTTCCGAAGACCAGTAGCACGCTCAGGATGTTGCAGGGAACGAGAGGGAAGCCAATTGCACGCGTTGAGGATCGGCGCCTTTCGAAACGCCAGATGTTGGAAGTGATGCCCCAAGGGAGCTCTCTGAACAGCCGCAGAATCCAAGCCGCCTGGATTCGAACCGCACCGCTTCACAATAGCCAGGCACCCGACAAGACACATTCGAACCCAACATGCGCATCTAGCGGTCACTCAAAGGGGGGATGAGGGGGCTCGCGTCGCTGGGTTGTCCCATTTTTACATAATATAAGTCGCCCAAGTCTTGAGCATGTTTGTTTCCATTTCGTGTTCACTTCGACTTGCACCCTCTAGAGATGCCATTGGCCATGGGAGTGCCTTCCGGCTATCAGCTTGGAGCTCTCAATTTTGATGTGCGCGGTTGAGCCCTTTTGTCCAGGTGGAGTGACACAGCTGACATCCTCTACGCGCACTGTGCGCGACTTATCATATTGCCGGGTGTCATGGCTGCCATAGCTGTCCCGCAGCCTTTGCATGCTCAGGTGACTTGAATAGAGACCGCACATCCCCCTTCCCAGCGCTTTGTCAATTCAAGTGGTGTGGCTTGAGACGGACCCAGAGTCTTGCTGTCCTTTGCGTTGTATTCAGGACAAAACTACCATTTGCCAACACACATACCTGAAAGCCATGGAATGATTCCTTTGTTCGCCACCCATATTTGTTTGTCTCATTGCCACACAATTCCGGGTCTGAGGCGCAGTCGCAGCCGCCGATAGCTGTCACCCCAGCATGCAAGCTGACACCAGCCGTTTCCCAAAAGCTGGCTAGACCTGGCTACTAAAATGCGAGTATATGGTCTGGGGACATTCCCAAACAGAACGAGCACCCCGTAAATGAATTTTATCTAACAGTGTGTTTGCTCCATTTTTGCCTACAGGGTGTGGTTGTGAGTCACGTGAGGTTGTGCCGGCGACTTTAAAGGTAATTTGCAAACTTTTTTGTTGTCCTGGTTCAGGATTCTGCAAGTTTGGTGCCTTGCTCACTTGCTTGCTTGCCTGCTGTCTGCCTGCCTACTTGCTTCTTTCCTCTCGCTGCTTTCTCCCCCCGTTAGTTTTTTTTTTGCCTTGCGGGCGCCCCATCATTTGGGAACCCCTTGCGTTCAAGGGCGCCGGCAAGTCTGAAGAGCGGCATTTGCCAATGCCATGCTGAATTGTAGCGTTTGTTAGTTGTTGGCTGAGCTGACCATATCATCTCTCCTTGCAGCTGACCATCCATGCCCCAAAAGCTACATCTGGCTTCAGGGGGATGGACATCTAGTCTGGGGATGACTCACTTTCGTATCATAGAACGGGTAAGGTTCTGTCAGTGAAGAACAGGTGTACACTTCGAAGCAGGACCGAAGAGCCTCAGCAAGGCGAGCCTCGTTGCGCTGTGTTTGATTGGTTTCGGGTGTGATGCATTTGGCCGCAAAACCGACTTGTTGCAAGCACGCGCCATGCGACTCAGGCAAATTACCAAGGACTCTTGTTTCTTGTGCGAGCCATGACCATTCCCCCCACGAAGTGCAGTCAAGGCATGTAAAAAGCCGACCGGCCGAGGTCGGCCGGAGTCTCACATTGTCGCAGGGCACCTCCCCGTTGCTGTCCTCTGACCGCCAGGCGTGTTGGTGAGTGGCGGCGGTTTTGTGTTTCTTGTCTGGTAATATGCTAGACTAAAACCGAAAAGGGATTTTCCGGTCCTTTCTTCTGACCATGCAGAGCTTGGTCTTGATATAATTTTCGTGTGACAAATGGTGGCAACAAGTGTTGTTCAATACCAGTTTGTTTCAACTGGATGCTGGTGTAGATGCAGAGACACATGCCTTGCACGTTACAACAGTTTGAGCCGACGCTTTGCCAAATGTGAAATCGGATGATTGACCACTTGCCTTGGTATGGCACCCGAGCCCAAGGCCGCATCTCAGACACATGTTCAGGCAGAATCCCCAAGAAGTTGCAAGTCGTGTACAGTTTGGCCAGCAGCTGCAAGAAGGGAACATGTGGATCTCTGCGTACTACCCTTGCATGTGTGGAGGTCGCGCCTCAAGCAAGTAGAGGCATGGCTCTATCCTGTCTTGAATGCGTGCAGGTCCAGCCGTACAAGTATCAGGCAGGACGCAGGGAAATGGCTTCAAAGGTAGTGCCTTCGGCTTGGCGCCAGAAAGACATTCACAGTAATGGGATCTGTACTGTGGCGAGCTCACCGTGGGGGTGTGGGAGTAAGGGCAGCTTACCCATGAGGCAGGTTCAATCCTTGGTGTCCGTGGTTTCCAGCTGATGAATAATGTCCTGTAGTACAAGCGGGGCACTCCCTGTTTTAGTATCAGTCAAACAAGAGTTGCTGAAATTTGATGCGCACCTGCCTTGAGAAGCGAGATGGGATGGCTTTTCGGCTTGGTTGTGCAATTCAGAGGTCCGTCAAGCAATTGGTATTTGGCAGGTGGAGCAGAATCGCAGCGTCGGACGATCTTCAACTTGAGTAAAGGTGTTGATCAAAGCATTGCAACTAGATTGAAGGTATTTTGACCATCATGGCCGTCCTTTGCATTGCATAAGGAGTTTCAGTATGGCCAAAGGCCAAGCTGTACA